TGTTTCCCTGACTGGACAAAAGAAAGCAAGTAATTTCAAGAATAGCTGTCTTACGTCTGTAAGTGAGGCCCAACCGCATGGCTGCTGGATGGACCAGGAGCTAGCTCTAAATTGCCAAGATCATCCTCAAAGCTGCTGTCTGAAGGAGAACTACTTAGTAATAAATAAAAGCTTCTTTCACTGCAATAAAGAAAACAGAATTAATTAAAAATTCAACATTATTTCCTGCATAAACATGGGCAAGTACAACACGCACATTAAAATGACCAGCATTAGCCTAATGCAGTTCTGCAGTAAGTCTGTAACTATGTCTATCCCTCCTGTCACGGAGTTCATCGATTATTTAACCATTTAAAACTGGAACACCTCAAAATAATATTTAAAAATTCATTCCATACCACACAGAAAACACAACTCACCTCCATGATAATGATCAAATGGTTAATGAATGCTCTTTACAGAAATAATCACTATTTATTGTTAGAATCACACAAGCAGCACTTTTTACAACTGAATAAACAAGCTTGGAAAGCACAGTCTGTGCCAAAATACACAGAATACGCTCACACATTATTTGCAATGAGCATTTAGAGGTATTAAAGCCATGTTTCCACCAAACAATTTTAAAATGTCACAATTTTCAAATATTCAAAACCAATTTAACTTAGACCAAACCTGAAACAATCCAACCTCATTCTATGACTCTCACAATTTTAAAATTTTCAATTTTTCATGAATCCAGATCTTCGAAATTTTGAAAATTTGTGAACACCCACAACTTTAAAATTTTCAAAATTTCAAATTCCAGAATGAAAAATTTCACAGTTCCCATATTTGAAATTCCAACATTTAAAATTCATATTTGAACACCTATCCTAGCCTGAAATTCCTTAACCAAAATAAAACAAACCACATCTAACCAAACATAACATAACCTAAACTAATCCAAAAGCCTTGCCTTAATCTAAACAGACCTTATTCAACCTAAACTAACATGTCCTAACCTGATCTAACCTAACTCATCCCAACAAAATCTAAATATGTTGTGATGATGTGAATTGGCTCAAAACTGACCACCGCCAATTCTGATTGTGGTCTGCCAGATTGTGACACTGTACTATTGTAGGTGGTTACCAGTGGTTTGGAGGACCATACTGCCTCCATTTTTATGGGTATCTGTACAAAAGATGGAGGCAACATGTTTCCACAAGACTACACCATGTCACAAACCAAATGATCACTTCTACCCTGAAGACAGAAAACCTAAGACCTCAGTCCACATGCTATTCCTGCACCAGATACATCAACTACAAATGTTATAAATTAAAAATAATTATAATTTACTTACTATGGGATGCCTTTCAGAGCATCAGACCAAGATGTATATTTAAGCAAAACATCCATAACCTCAAAACCATCTGAATACCTAGACTCTGTATTCAGTCTGAAACAAACAGCAAAAATTACAAACAACTTTCAACTTCCACATGGAATTACTAAGCACAGTTTTTGTATTACCAATGTCATGGATAGGACAATTATCATAAAAACTTACATAAGCTTAGGTATAACAATCCATGTACTTTACTAAAAACACAAACTGTGATCTCTTCAAATTGTGGAGTCACCAACAATGAAGATTTTGTACATGACAGAGGTTGTAAAAAAAGTAATATAAGTATAATCTTTGGTTCAGAAGCAATGTGATCATTATTATATGTTATATGTGTACATCATATATACATAGTAGGAACACATGTTGATACATAAATATACTTTATATATCAGCTACAACGAACACTGTGATTCAGCTAAAGAATTATTGAAGACTATAAGTCTTAATCTCGCAGAAACAATGTTCTCTTGTAACTGTAATCATTTAAGAATCCGCTACTTTGGTAAAGGAAAAACAACTTAAGTGAAATATCGACCCATCAGGGATGAGGAATGAGAAGGAAAAGGTTCAGGGCCAATGGGAAGTCTAGAATGTGTCAGAAGGGGGCTACCCTCTCCGGCTATCAGTCATGTCAAATGGTCAAAATTCGCTGACATTTCCTACCTTCCGAAAATTCTGCGAATGTTCCTTGCACACTACTTCCTTCTTAGTTTGGCCACATGTGTCAGAACACAACGGTGTCAAGTTGTAAGGTTGGGTAAATGATAAAGAGTTGCTACTATAACCTCCTTTGTCAATTTCAGGAATTAAAAATATGTGCATGGCACCAAAACACAGAAGCAACTTTGTCATAAAATTCTTACCTGTATGAATTCAAGTTCAGAAGTTTGTTCCTGGTACAACATTCTTTGATATACTGAATTGAAAAGACTTCATCATTACCAATAAGAGCAACATCTTCTGGGATCAATGTAATACCATAGTCGCCAGGAATTGAAACAACTTCACCACCACCAAACTGAAATAATTTTAAAATACACCATTCACACAATTAAAACAATATAACTGTTGTGGCTCAAACCACAATCACCGAACAGGAATGAACAAACATCAAACTAACCTCAATCATTTCTCTTATTGCTTCTTTATCTGCACACGGTTTTATAATAAATGTCAACGGATTATTCCTTTCATCCAAGAACAACACTGGGGAATGATTCAGTTCTATACCTTTATCCACTTCACTCATTTTTATATGTGTTCGCAATCACGGTGGGACGCCGAAACAAACATGAAATCTGCAGTAATCTGATCGAATTTTCTCCGAACTACCAAGTTCTGTGCACGGATTACAACATAAGGCGAATCACTGAATACTTTTTCCTCACTAATAGTTCAGAATCTGTCGTTTTGACTACTAAATTAAAGTTGAAGCCTCATCTAACAGACATATTTCGCATCCTTCCGCTCAGGGTTTCAGTTGCTTTTCCCGCGATAAATCTTTCACCTGCTAAAGTTAAGGTAACCTCACTACGTGCACAGACTGACGTATGAGAGGTTGTATGTATAAAGCCCGGGCTACACGTAACGTCTTATCGTACGTTTTGTTTCATCAGTTAAGATGGTCAGATAAAACTGACCAAAATCCCATGTCCACACTATTTACGTTTTAGCTACCGTTTTCTGCTCAGTTTCATAGATACCATGGATGAAGTATTACTTGTATCGATTATTTCATTGTCTCTCGTGAAATTGAAAAGAAAGAAAGTTGTTCGTCGCTCACGGTGGTCTAGAAAATGGTCGCTAAAAAGGGGCAGATTCTCTCATGTGAATTTGCTTCGGGAATTACGTCATGAACCTGAAGATTGGCGTAATTATTTAAGAATGGATACGGACACTTATTTGAAATTACTATCGTTAGTAACTCCAGAAATACAAAAAAAGGACACTACCATGAGAAGGGCTATCACACCCCATGAGAGACTGACTGCTACTCTAAGATTTCTAGCGACAGGTAGAAGCTACAAAGACTGACGTTTTACCGGAAAACAATGCTCTAACAGATCCGTTTTCTGAGAGACGTCCGTTTCTCTGTCCATACGTAACATTTTTACTGATACGTCTTAACTGATCAAACAAAACGTACGATAAGACGTTACGTGTAGACAGGGCTTAAGAGTGGCCGTCAAGCACGTGCTTTTGTTTACATCTAGTAAGGATCCTGGTCTGTGACAGGATAAAGCACTACTTGAAATTAAAACTGATCAAAAGCTAAGAAACATCATCTTTATAGAAACTTATTTTCAAGCTAAAAAAATAAGTTTTTCTCACAGTGCACAACATTATTAATTCTCAATAAAGATATGGATAACCAATCTATCTCACAGTAATGAGATGTTTGCTGAGCCCTGATCCATGGTAGCTATTACCATGCTTTTGTTACTAAGCAACAAAAAATGGTTCTGTTTATGGATCATTGGCTGATCATTAAGCATGATTCCGTTGCAGTGAAACTTCAAAACTTGAATGGGGATGTTTTAAATTTGTTATAAAGATTCAGGGTTAATGAAGGATTGCATACTGCAGATGTAGCCTCCACTGGGGCATTACAAGAACTTCTTGGCATAAAAACCAACTGGTCTGCATTTTATAAACTGAGGTATCTTTAGCACAATTCTGCCCTAACTATATCTTTTTTAAAAAAAATATGTTTAATGCTAGAAATGAAGTGATCATAGCCACTTTGCCCTTAATATTCACTCGAGAAAAGTCTGTGTGCCTGCAGGCAGTCTGGACATGGTGGTGGAGAGAAAATTTCCCATGCCTGACACACACCATATAGTCTTCAGGTGATGAGATGTGATTTTGCAGTGCAGGGACAGAATTACAGAATGAGGCATACAGCAGGTTTTACTTATTTCAGTTTATTTCCATTTATATATTCATTATAATATAGCATTCCATGATTTGACTTAGAACTGACTTAATTATAAATTAAAAATAATTATCATCATGCAACAATAAAAAAACTCAACAATTTTTTTTTGTGATTTTTTGTAACTTTGGTTTTTAAACATTTCAAGAGAAAAAACATTCTCCATTGTGTTAAGCATTCAACAATACTTTTTTAATCTTCAACTGTCCCAAACGTACAGATGTCACCTTCATTCTGTAATGTCACAAGTATACACACAAAGAGCTCTTCATCATAAAAATGAACACATAGCAATTGAAGAACATGATAATCATAATGGTCAGTTGATTTGATGTTTGCAATAGTCTTAAAGATTTATAAATGCTAAACATACACACAAACAGAGAGAATAATCAGTAGTAGCTCGCTTGACAAGAGAAGACAATGTTGCAACAGCAGTACAGATGTGGCAGCTGTGCATCATTGCGTTCGCTCTGCAGCTTATTTACTGGAACATATTTTAAGTATTACATAATTTAAATGACTTACATCTCATTAGAGTCAGGATCATGCTTTTGTTATGAAAGGTTTTATTCCAACTGTTGATATGAGACCTGCTATTGATATTTATCAACTGCATACTGCAGTTCAATCATGTTATGACATGTCAGTCTTGTTGCAGTACATAAACCTATTTTTCTCAAGTTTGCGCTGGCTTGTGGCATTCATTTCATACAGGTAAATTAATAGAAACATAAATTAATTAATTAATGATGTTAACTCTGCATGACGGTGCTACTAAAATGTGGAT